TCATATATGATAGTTTTATACCTACGAGATAGGAATTCCTGCTTCTCGAATTTTTTTGGCTGTCCCTCCTGAACCGATAAGCTTTACATTTAGGTCATTGAGTTCTTTCGCAAGTTCAATTAAACCAGACTTGTTATAAACCGATAGAATTGCTTTGGTATAAATGAATTAACAGTATAATGAACAATGGAATTATTATTATTTCTGATATACAAACAGCATTTTGTACTGGACCTGAGCTTTCCTTCGCTCAAAATGATTTTTTATATATGAATAGGTATTCTCGCTCGCAACATTCCAAGCGATGAAGCTGACCTAATCGCGCAGAAAATACAGAAAATTGATTATGTTATTTGTAATCTTTACCCTTTCAAGGAGACAATTGCAAAGGAAGGAATTACAATTGCCGAAGCTGTAGAGGAAATTGATATTGGTGAGAATTTTATGAATATTTCTCGCAGATTATACATAAAGTTTCCTCAGACTCTAAACATGCATAGACAATAGGTGGTGTCACGCTTTTGAGAGCCGCTGCAAAAAACCATGACCGTGTGACTATTCTTTCCGATCCAAATGATTATCTAAAATTTTTAGCTGAATTAAAAAAGGATGATTGTATATCCGAAAATTCACGTAGATTATTCGCGTTGAAGGTTAATAAATTATTTTAAGTTCAATTATTTTATGATAATTTACTAATACATTAATGTATTCAAATCAATTTCAGGCTTTTAATCACACTGCAGATTACGATGAAGCAATTTCAAATTATTTTAGACAACAATATGCTAAAAATATTTCTCAACTCACTCTACGTTACGGTGCCAATCCACATCAAAAGCCCGCCCAAGTCTTTGTAAAAGATGGCTGTCTTCCTATACAGGGTATTGATATATACTACGTTGTTTAGTAAAGAACATAGACAAGATATGTAGTAGTAGGAATAGTAAAGTTTAACTTATTCTTCTTTATATAGTTCTATCCGGATCACCAGGCTATATTAATCTTCTTGATGCGTTAAATGGCTGGCCACTAGTAAAGGTATTGTGCACTCGACTTCAGTTCATAAGCGCATTATTACTATCGGCTTATTTATTGTTAAGAAATTTATGGATATAATTATCTACTAGGAACTTAAAGCTGCACTCAATCTTCCTGCTGCTGCTTCTTTCAAACATGTGTCTCCTGCTGGAGCTGCGGTTGGACTTCCATTGGACGAGATTGAAAAAAAGGTGTATTTTGTAGATGATCTTAAAGAGCTATCTCCTTTAGCCACTGCTTATGCTCGTGCTCGTGGTGAATTATTATTTTAAGTTTATGTGACCTTCATTAGGAATAAATCTGACTTTATTATCTGTCATTAGGGGCAGATAGGATGTCTTCCTTTGGTGATTGGATTGCTTTGAGTGATATAGTCGATGTTCCAACTGCTAAAATTATTTCACGTGAGGTATTATCACAATTTATAAGTGTATACAATACGTTATTCTATTATTGAAGTTTTTATTCATAATATGTTTTAGGTGTCTGATGGTATCATCGCTCCTGGTTATGATCCTCAAGCTCTTGAGATTTTAAGTAAGAAGAAGGATGGAAAATATACTGTTATTCAGGTTAGAATTCATGAAGCAAACAAGCTTTTTTTTTTCCTTATTTATATTACTAATATATAATTATACATTGTAGATTGATCCCAATTATGAACCTCCAGAAATAGAAACCCGTCAAGTTTACGGATTATATCTTCAACAAAAGCGTAACAATGTTAAGATTGATCAAAAATTATTTGAAAATATTGTAACAAAAAATAAGAATGTAAGTTAAATATTTAATTACCAAGAAGAATTACTATCAAAAATTTAATTTCATTTTTTTTTTCACAGCTTCCGAACTCAGCGATCACCGATCTCATTGTTGCCACAGTCGCTCTCAAATATACACAATCTAATTCTGTATGTTATGCTAAAAATGGCATGGTGATTGGACTTGGTGCTGGACAACAATCACGCATCCACTGTACGCGATTAGCTGGTGAAAAAGCTGACAACTGGTGGCTTCGTCACCATCCCAAAGTGATTGGTTTTGATTTTAAAAAAACGACAAAACGAGCTGAAAAGAGTAATGCAATTGATCTATATATATTGGATAAAATTGGCGAGGTTTTTTTTTATTTTATACATTTATTCTTGCTTACAGTTATTAAATTTTAAATGAATTAACTGAAATCTATACTTTAGGGACTAGAACGTACTTCTTGGGAATCACAATTCAATACGATTCCCGAGCCTCTGACGCCTGAAGAACGTAAATTACATCTGGCATCACTCTCAGGAGTCGCGCTTTCCTCTGATGCTTTCTTTCCTTTTTCAGACAATATTCATCGAGCTCGTCAATCTGGAGCTAATTACGTTGCAGCTCCAAGTGGTTCTATACAAGATCAAGCAGTGATACAAGCGGCTGACGAACATGACATGGTTTTAATTCATACTGATTTGAGACTATTTCATCATTAAGATACTCCAATACAATACTTTTGGCGCAAAATTTGTATTGATATTAATATATTTTAAATAGGCAAATTATCATCGTGTCATTAGATAGATATATTCAATTTATATACATTGGTTGGATTGAAATGTATTCTAAAATTTTTTGGTTAAGAAGTGTGTTATTTGAAGAAAATCGAAAATTGATTTTATTGAAAAATCACATATTTTAAATGCAATATTTGATAACAGATATCTAGGTATTTATCTATCTATATAGGATATTATGCATATCCGTATAATAGGTATATACTCCTGATATAAAGAGGGATTTGAGCATTTTGTAAGAATCTTGTTAGAGTAATAATCTAATAATTACTCGGACATACAAGTCTGTCTTTGATCAGTCACGATTTTCATTAAACTCATGAGACAATGGTAAAATGAAAAAAAAATTGAATAAAAAAATTTAGAACTATATAGTCGTTAGACGAGAACCCATGTCTTATCATTCTAAAGTGAAACTACCTTTAAAAAGCTTCGACAATAATGATAGTTTCGAAAATTCCTAAAATTTCTTATGTAAGAATTTAGTTGAAAATCGAAACAAGCTTCAACTTTTTCAAAGTTGAAACCTCAGGTTTCGTAGTTCTATGTGTCACCTGCGACAATTTTTTTTTTGTTTAACCAGTGGAGACCTTGGATAGGCGATTAGGAGAAACTCTCAGATAGTGAGAGATTCTTACTAAAACCCTTCCGGTGACTAGAGTTTGGAAACAGTTTTATTTTTCATATTCTAAAACCGATAAACCCAGGTTTAACTTATAAAAAATAAAACCGATTCCAAACTCTACTGATAACATTCAAAGTATATTTTAGAAAATGGTGTTTTCATAATACAACCTGGCTTGTGCATTTCGATCTGATAAAATTTAAAAAAATCCCGAAAGTAAAAAAGTCAAAAAAGTGCTTGGCCACTACTAAACAAGATTAGATTATACTTACATTTAAACTATACTCGACACACTCTAAACTGAACCAAGATAAACCGGACATTTAATAAGTTCAGTTAAAAATCACTACGTACGCACGCACACACATTTGTTTGGGAATTTAGAATGAAAAAAATGCAGTTCTAAATTTCGGAATCAAGTTCAAGAATATTATTCAGTACAACAACATAGGCATTCCTCGGACAACGTTTAAGGAGAATCAACTATACTTACCATATTGTTGTGTTGAAAAGTTGAAATAGGCATAATAGGCATAACGAGAAAGATTTGAAGGCTTTTTATATGAAAAATTTTTAAAGATTATCAATTGAATCACGAGGTAAACAAAAATTAATAAATTAGGAAATAATGTAATTGCATTATTTTGAAACAGGCGATTAATTTTAACGCTTCCAACAGGTGTGGATTGATTAAATTTATCAAAATTTCCACGTATTACGAAGCGAAGATTAAGTTAAATCAATTTACAAAGTCCTTTGGTTCACACGCGGATTCTTTCAAAGTATTGAGAGTAATTTTTACTGTAACCGCTAAAGGATACATTTAATAATCTCATAAAATTATATTGCAAAATGTTTATTTTTTTGGATGCGTAATCGATATCAGGCAGACAAAATTTGCACTGCTGCCTTTTCACTTATAAATGGGCACTTTTTTTTTTTTTTGTTCCGTAAGTATGAGTGTAGACGTCTACGTACTCACGCATATAAAGTTTGGGTAGTACGTCTATATGCCGCTGCCATATTTGATGTTCTACTGTTCGCAGCTTTGCTATAAGATCCATTCAGTATAATTTTTAATAATGTCAAATGAATTAAGATCGAGAATTTGAATTTTCTTACTGAACACTTAAGAATATGTGATTGCCAGAAGTAACTTTATGAAGGCACAAATTAAAATTGTGTATGCTCGTGAAAATGTACTTTCATCCTGAATATCATAACGAAGAACAATATTATGAAGACATCACCATTTCATCTAAAATAAAAAAATATTTTGTTGTTTAGATACTAATTGAAAACAAAATTTACTTAATCCGCTACGATGCTCATATAATATTATTAGGTCAATGACTTAGTTGTCTCTGTGGTTATCTTTAATAACATGATTTGAAAATTGTAGCTCGAGCAATATACATGCCTGAATTACAATTTCAGTCCAGTCGAACCTGACCAAAAATATGCTCTTTGATAATCGACGAAAATTTTTACATAGTAAAAGCCTGCTAAAATTAAAACGTAAATTTCTGAGTATCACTGTGATTGGCTAAATTAACATGATAAGTAGTGGTGAATATATAAAAGCATCGGTTTTCCCCATTTATTTTCCATTTTATTCCTGATCTCATCATAAATGAGTGCCGCAAAGGGAAAGTCTGAATCTTTCTCTTTGCGGCATTCAAATGAAACGTACAGAGCGCTAATGGAACGATACAATACGTTGGTTATTGTGAACTTGGAGTTGAAAGAATGAATAGTATTTATTATTGTCAAAACACGATTTTATCGAATTGAATATTAAAAATAAGGCATTTATTATTATCGAAGTCCACTGATACGAGTTATCAATAAAAAAGAACATTTAATGTTGATTATAGATTTGGCAAGAACGAACGTAAGAATTCATTTATTATTAAAAATCTGCGGATATGAAATGTGAGTTGGAAAAGATAGACATAAAGCATTTATTTATATAACATTAGCAGATATTTATTATTGAAATCTGCTGGTATTGATCACAATTAAAGGAACGTTTAATGTGGATTATAGAGTTGGAAATGATGAATGTAATTCATTCATTTATTATCAAAAATCTGTGGATATCAGATATGGAATTAAAGTTTGAAAGGGTGAACGTAAGGAATTATTTATTATAAACCTGCGGATATGGATTATGCTAATAATGAAGAAATTAGAAATTTATTATCAAAAACCTATGGGTATAGTTATGTCAATTAAGAAATACATACTAATTCAACACTCTTATTAACAAGATCAATGAAATTAGAATTTAAATACTCTACTATCAACTTAGAATCATTCTTCACAACATATATTGCAAAATATCAAAAGTTGAAAAAATGATCGCAGGTATTTGCGAAGATGAATTAATACGACTACCATAAATACAATACAAATAATATAAACGCGACGCCGATGCTGAAGTGGATCAAGATAAATATAAAACATTCAAAAATTTGCAGATATAAGTCATGATGGTTAATTCAAAAATCTACATATATGGGCATATTAGTTACACATAACAGGATTAGAAGGGATGAATGTTTATTATTAAAAATCTGTGAATATAAATTTATTACTAAAGAAAATAATCATCAAAAGAAAAATTAGGAACTCTCAAAGTTCCTGCCGAGGCTCTTAGCACGAATACTACTCACTTCATTGGATCTTTCTACAATTGTCTCGGAACAGTGAGTGTAGAACACTATCTAGTGCATTTGAAATAACAGTTCATTAACATCAATAATTATTGACAAAAACAGTATTGAATCTAAAGGTGGGCATCCGTATTAAATTTTGATCTAATATTGATCTAATACAAAATTTATCTGACGCAATATATGATTTCAAAGTTACACAGGAGATCCACAAATCTGCCGATCATTTAATGTAGATCATAATGAAATTTAACTTATTTATGTACGATTTTTAAATTTTTTTTGGCCCTTTTTTGTCAGATTTTTTTTTATAGTTAAGTTAGGGTTTAGGGTTAGAATTATTAGAAAAATAGTAGATTTTGTTAGAGCTTATATATTTAAATTGAGGCCCTAAATTTCACAATGATCTGATTTCATTATGATCTGCAACATTTAATAGATTTAATATTCCTGGATTTCTGTAAAAACTCTAATACTGCAGTAATATATACTATGATCAAAGTGTCAACAAGTGGTAAAAAGAAGGGTGCACAGAAACATAAAAATACTTATGCTTTCCGTGCAAACAAAAATTCAAAAAAAACAAATTTAATTAACTCGTTACCGATAAATGGAATGTAAGTTAATAAGAAAAAATCAATTTGAAAATATCTGAACTTTTAATAAAAAATAAATATAATATAGATGTAAAAGATGTAAAGATATTATTGAGTGGCGTAAAAAATTTAAAAAATATAAACCATTGAAAACACCTAAGCGTTGGTAAGTCACATCAGAGATTAAAATGGTAAAGTTTAAAAAAACATATTTCGCTAATTATATTTTATAAATGAAGTGTTTGTTGTGAAGAGAAAACCGTCAAAGAAGCCTATCATATCTTGTGTAATAAATGTGCCAAAGACAAAGGTGTTTGTGCAAAATGTCAAGGATCAGAGGATATTGTACAAAGGTTTGTTTTTATTGCTATTTAGTAACATGCGAAGACACAATTAACCATTATTCATTTTAGCGATGTGAAAAGTGATAAAGAATTGTTACAAGAACAACAAAAACTCGACTCTATATTATCATCATTACCAGAACGAAAGAAGAGAACATATTTACGTCAGTTGGAACGCGGAGGAGAGGTATCGCTTAACAACCAAGACCAAGAAACAGAAGACGATGACCATCTTTATAGCGGTTCAGATGAAGAAACAAGTGACGAAGAGAATTCGTAGCAATTACGACTTGATGAATAATTTGTTACTTTTTGTCAATTTATATATTAAATAAAGCAGAATATATAATCTTTCACACTCACCTATACATAATTAATAAATTACTTATTACAATTCACTTGGAAAAAAGAACAGAAAATTTCACCTTCAGTTAACCGATCTATACTTGCTTTTTGCGGCATCATGGATGTGAGAGAGTTTGTGATAATAGTCTCGAATCCTTGAAATTTATTGTATATACCGATTTCTTTAGATAGCATATCTTTCATTGGCCTCACGATTGTTACATCTAAAAAAAAAAATCGATATAAATATATATATATATATACATATACATATATAATTAAAAAAAGTTTTAAATACAAATTAATATATATATTTACCTCCAAAACAAGAATTTAATCCCGAAATATCCAAAGGCAAGCTAAATCCACGACCCTTACTTGTAAAAGATATGATTTTGATAGATAATCTTGTTGAACAATCACCCAACAACAATTTCGTGCATCTAATAATTCGTGACGAAGTAAAAATGATAGCAATGATTAAATAAACAAGTTCATATTAAATAAAAATATAAATGTAAATTGAAGATACCCATTCTTCCTTGCAGTATTTATTAGTAAGCATTGTTTAAGATGCCACACAAGATCTTCTTTAGCGGTCAATTTGGACACACCATCAAGTAATGAATGTAATTTTTTTTTTGTAGAAATTTCTTGTTTACATATTTTAGCATTAAGCTCTATTTAAATGAACGAAAACGTTAATCCAGATCAAGTGATAATAAATAGGGAAAAAAAATGTATGTACCATCAATTTCATGCTGACTTGATTTATCTAAAGTGACTTCAAGAACTTTATTATATGCACTACTAGAAGTGTAGTCAGGAGAATATATATCATCTATGCGTAATCCAATAAACGGATAGTTGTAATTTTGAGCAACTTGCTCAATTTGATTTAAAATCACATCCTTGAATTGAAAAAAAATAGTAAAATGATTTAACCCACTTTATATATTGTATCTTACATGAAGAGAAAAAAACATACATGATCATCACTGTCATCTAAATTGAAAATTGGACTTTCATCAATGTGACAAACCAAAACTTCAGAGAATAATGGTTTCTTGGATATTTCATTTGGTAAAACTTCATTATAATCGCTTAACAATTGAAGCATTGATCTGCTCAAAAGTAATTAAAGAACATTTTGTATATGATCAGTATATTATATAGCACTTTAGAAATAAGATTGTTGATTAAATTGAATTATTCACCTGGATGAAGGACCACCAGAAAATCCCACCAAAATCTTTTCACCTTGAGAATTTGCGGAACGTAATTTGTCCATATTTTTACGAAATTTGCCAACAAAAGCATGTTGGAAACATGGCCTTTTGTCAATTGTGCGAATGTTTCATTTTGTGTATTAATGAGTAACGAATGTGGATTCTAATAGTTCTTACTTGCAATATGTAGAATGCCGAATTAAAATTGTTGGAGTTGCCTTGCATTTAATACATTTTTTGGTAATGGGTCTAATTTTGATTGCTATAAACACAATATCTTGTTAAACTTTGTGATGTATGAGAACTTAATTTAAATTGAAAAGGACTAACCATCAACTTCGTTTGGCGCGTCCTCGATGCTGCACATGATACCAACTCGCTAAAAGCAAACTATCGCTTTCGTCTGGTTTAAAAAAAAACATTAAAATTTATCAATTGTATGTGAACATGTGACTTTCGAATTAGGAAATGCTATGCTAGCAATTCCAAAGATACAGCTCCGGACGCATTTATTAAATGGGATATACAGTACAATTTAATGAATATCTTATACATCGATTAAGCAGGATAGGACATTAATGAAACTATAATACTAATCTTAAATAAAGTGGAGCTCGTCTTTTAGTAAGGGCAAACACTAGGGATGTTAATCGGTCCCGCAGTAATTATCAGCCAACTTTGAGCAAGATTTATAAAAAATTGGCATTTTTAACCAGTATTCATCTAGTAAATAAAGTCATAGAAAAATAATTTTTCTGTTACATTTTCTAATAGAGGTTTATCAGTTTTTGCATTAGTTTTTGAGTAGTTTTGATGGGACCGATTAGGGACCGAACAGTGTGGAGGAAATTTAGCTAATCGGTCCCTAATCGGTCCCATTTAAATTACGCAAAAACTAATGCAAAAATAGATAAAACTCTATTAGAAAATGTAACAGAAAAATTATTTTTCTATGACTTTATTTATTGGACGAATGCCGGTTAAAAATGCCAATTTTTTATAAATCTTGCTCAAAGTCGGCTGATAATTACTGCGGGACCGATTAACATCCCTATTCTCAACTTTTTTTCATAGAGAACATTTACACAATAATAAATATTCTCAAATTTAATGGTATGTTCTCATGAGAACATTAGAACATAAGATTTCCAATACTGGTTTATTAACGTTATGATGAGTTTACTAATTTCTCTTACCACTTCTGATTGGTTCTGCTAATTATTCACATATCATAGTATCTGTGCTATTAACAATTTTATAGAAAATTAGTAAGACCATCATATGATGACAATACATCATCAAAATGAAAAAAAGGCTACTCATTTTTATTTCCGGCTAACTCCTTTTTCATTTTCAAAATAGGACATTTTGAACCCTCATAGAATAATCCTCATAGAAAATCGTTATAATCTAATCTATACATGGTAAGACAATAAAATTATAAATTTCCATATTAGTCATAATATCACGCAATATCGATACTGTATTGCAATTACGACCAAAACTTTTTATTTTTGCGGCGCATATGTCTATGTAATGCCGTAAGATATTAGTCATGTAACATTAAATATCATGAAATTTATCACCGCATGATTCGATCTATATAGAAATTATAGAAATTATACGATGTAAAAAATTAATTATAAAATTTGCGACTTTAGTACATCCTCAAATCTATTTAAATTCGAGAAAATAGGCATTATTACTTCGAGGCAACATGTTTGCAAAGAAATTCAACGATAAAAGTAAACCTACAATTAAAACTAAACTTACAATTAAAAATGCTATTTCGAAGAAACAGGTTTATTATTCAAAAAATGATCAATTTACTATAGATAGGAATTACATTGGAAATTTATGGAAATATTATTTCGAAAGGTTAAACGTAACAGTTGCCCTTAAAAGTTTAGGAGAATATAACAATCTTGATGACTCTTTCATTGATGAGCTTCAAAAATTAAAAGAGGTTAACAGTTTTCTTCATATTATTAATTTCTACGGAGTAACTAAAGATCGTACAACAAAAACTTATAGTTTGATCCTACTATTTGCTAATGGCGGAAATTTACGAGATTACTTGAAACAAAATTCTTCAAAAATGAGCGTGATGCATAAAATTCGTATTGCAAGAGAAATAGCACAAGGTTTGAATGTTTTACACAAACATAATATCGTTCATGGGAATCTAGACCTTAAAAATGTTTTGATTCATAATAATGCAATGATGATTTCAAGTATTGGAAATTTGTTATACTTACAAGATAACAAAAAACAAGACAGTATCAACGAACGATGTAGTAACAAAAAACAAGATGAAATATATAATTTTGGAATCATTCTTTCGAAAATTTTCAAAGATTTAATACCGTTTGAACGTGCTGAACTTTGCAAAAAATGTGCAGAACTCTGCGATGAATGTGACAAACTTTGCAAAAAATGCCTGCATATAGATCCGAACCAACGACCGATGATCAAAACAGTTTATAAAAATTTATTGCAACTAGAAGATGGTGGGTTTAGTATAGAGAGAACATTTCAAAGGTTTAGAATATCAAATATGATCCAAAGCGCTATAATGAATATAGGACATGTCAGAGAAATCGCTTCTCAAATTGACTTGAGATCAACAATATATGAAATAGAAAATGTTCCTTATGAATTTAAATTACTTCTTAGAGGTAGTAGAGATGGATTCACTACCGAGACTTTTCATAAATTATGCGATAATACATCTAGAACTCTTGTTGTATTAAAAGTTGAAGGAACAAATGAGATTCTTGGTGGATACAACCCAATTACTTGGAAAAAAGCTCTTAGTCAGTATGGGACAACAAAGAAAAGTTTTATTTTTTCTTTACGGAATAATAATTCTGATCTTGGTCGAGATAGAAACATAGAAAATAATTCTATTTTTAGTCAAATTAAAAGTTGCAAAAAAGCAATGGCGATTTATTATGATAATGATAATAACGTTGGTCCATCCTTTGGCCATAACGGTAACGATCTTTCTATGATTAATGGTGTAGGAGTATTTAATAAGTGGTGTTGTAAACAAGATTGCTATGAAAAGCCAATCAAAAAACCTGGCAACAGTGGTCATTTTAATGTAGTTGAGTATGAAGTATTTAAAGTATGTAAAAATCGATTTAACATTGGATCATATAACTCAGCAAAATAGAAAAATCCTATGCAATCGTCATGAAGATTATTTTTTGATGCAAGATGTGTAATACAAATGCAAAAAAGCCAATAAGGAGCGAGAAGAATCTTAAGAATTATTACTGGTATCACATAATTAATGTAAATAATAATTGATCGGTTCGATTCAAAATTCTCATTATCTGGGCATCAACTTTCTTAATAATCGGATTTTTATAGCTTACATTAACCCCTATAAAAAAGTTTGTCAAGCGCAAAAAAAGCCAATAAGGAACGAGAAGAATCCTAAAAATTATTACCGGTATCATATAATTAATGTCAGTAATAATTGATCGGTTCGACTCTAATATGTGTTGACAAGAGTCAACAGATCGAAAAGACCCGGGAGATTGGTCAGGGGTTACACGCCACGTGCTACAAACCTTCCCTGATAACATGAGTCGGGATCGAAAGAGACATCAGATCTCAGGAATTTCATCGAATTAAGCTATGTAACTGAAGGCCACTGTTCATTAAAGAAGCGACAGACAACCTACTCGCAACACTCTCGCCTCTTTCAACACAACTAAGCATAACAACTGTCTATTTTTCCCAATCCTTCCCACCACACACTGTAGTCTCCTGATTCTGCTATTTTCATATTTAACAGCCGGCCTGCTTCGAGCAGGGGGAAACCACCAGCTGATTTTGCTTTTCACTCATTCTACTGTTACGATGATACCCAGTGCAAGCTCACTTGCTAATTTTCCGGGAGCATATCATCGTTTCAGTTCAAATTATTCGGCTCAAATTACGGCTCAAATTACTCATAATGTATTAAATAATTATTTTAAATTGTTCGAAATTCTTGTTTGATTACATTTTCGGGGGTTTAATTTTTGTTAAGTTTCTGTTTAGTTTTTTGTTCAAACAATTTTTTGAATAAGATTTGTATAATTTCTGTACATTATATTGTTACATATTATTCAATTTTTGTTTAAATTTATTAAATATATGCCAACTATATTCGGTTAATATGCAAATAAATTACTAACTTTGTTCCCTTTAATATCACCTATATTTATATTATATATTTTTTAAAAAATTACAAACCATCACGAGTGTGACTATTCTTAATTATCTTATTAGATAAATAATAGTGCCTTGACTAATAATAGAATACATCATAATACATCGCAGGCATGTTGACATAATCATTTCTCACGATGATCGTATCCTTGTGAGATTCGGTTGATTAGTGTGCATTAACTAATGACTTTGACGTAACAAGAATACAATGTAACAATAATGCGTTAGAATATCATGATCATTTTTTTATAAGATGCCAATATATTTTTTTAAAATTGGTTAATTTCTTATATCATTATAAAAACTATAATTATAAAAATAGATTGTTGTAAAAACACAATAACTTCTTTTAGACTTACAAGCTTTCATCTAGTAACACTCATATATCAATCAACAAAATTACTCACTGTCACAAAAATCCTTCCATTAAAGCTAACTCTTTACATAGGTATATGATTTGTTACATGGGTAAATTATGAGCAGTGGTCCAATTTAGATCCAATCATGAGCTTGAGATGCTATACCAGGAACGGAGTACAAAGTACGTAGTGTATTGGGGTGTATCATGCAAGCCTATTTACAAACATAGTGCAGGTTACATAGTGAAAATCATTAATTATATTTAGCAGTGGCGTAGTGATAGCGTAAATAGTAAAAACACAAAATCTAAATTGCAATAACTCTTGAACAAGCAAACCCACACAAATAAAATTACATTTTTTCAGGTTCATTTTAGTGTACTCTTTAAAGTAATAACACCTTTTTTTATTTATTTTTATTGTTTGAAGCATAGCGGAGGACGCAGTTTTCATACAAAATTGTCGTTTTTGATATATTTCTTAATAGAGCATCAAAAACGTACTTTAAATTTATTGTCGATCACCATTGCATAATACAATACGAGAGGACATTTTTGATGTTTTTATTAAAAAAATATCAAAAACGACAATTTTATATGAAAACTGCATCCTCCGCTATGCTTCAAACAATAAAAATAAATAAAAAAAAGACGCTGTCACTTTAAAGAGTACACTAAAATGAACCCGGCAAATAGAATTTTATTTGTGTGAGTTTGCTTATTCAAGAGTTATTGCAATTTAAATTTTATGTTTTTACTATTTACGCTATCACTATGCAACACTGCTAATTATAAAAAAATTTGGTAAATGGTTTCACTATACACCTGCACTATGTTTGTAAATAGGCTTGCATGATACACCCTAATAAACTGTATAGTTCCAAGGACTATTCATATTGCAAATCAATCCGTATAAATACGGATTTGATTATTTTGTCACTCCACTCCATATAACCAACATGATTACGAAATATATAATACGGGGATATCGCCTCGCTGGGGTATCCAATGTACTATGTAGATCAAATATATGTATAGTCTCATATAAAAAATAATTAGTGTGATTTTTTTGTGTAACATATATGCCGATTTATATTAAAATATTAAAATTTCATTAGGTTTATTAATAATTTTGTTGTAGTGTTTTAAAAAACACTTCATTTTATTCAATTTTAAAGTCCAATGATTAATTAGGCAAAATTTCTAGTCAAATTAATATGTAAAATTTTAAGGAGATACGATTTAAAATTTAATAGTATTTTCATAAGAAAATATTAAATTTCAAATCGTATTTCCTCAAAATTTTACATATTAATTTGACTAGAAATCTTATCTAATTAATCATTGGACTTTAAATTTGAATAAAATGAAGCGTTTTTTTTAAAAAAAAATTTTATTAAAAATTTATGGATCTATAATAATTTATCTAATGATTTTACAGAATTATACAAATCTGATTTATTAACAATAATAGCTATATTTAATATATAACAATAATAAAGAAATAAAGAATAACCATGAGTCAGCCAGGCTAGCTCTTTCAAAGTGCAGCTACACAAGTCACATATAATATAAAAAATCATAATCAGCAAATAATAGCTGTTCGATGCACAAGTATTAAGATAGCTTTTGTCTCAAATTATATAATATCTGATCACATGTTTGATCGATTAGTTAATTGATAAAATATAAGTATGAGGTAATAAGATAATTAGTAATATGATCTTTGATAAAAGTTATAGTTAGTGATTAGTCTTAGTGAAGTAGTCTGAGATAATTGGATTGTAGTATATTTAGTAAATAATAGGAAAATGATAGGAATTAACTTTGTCTTTTTTGTGAACCTGACTTTTGTCCTGGTTATATCGATTCTTTCCACCCTACCTGTATAAGAGTGATGCATGAAATTTATGGTCTGTCGGGATGGCAGTCATAAATAAGAGTAGGTGATAAGATCTGAAAAACATTAAATATGGCTTGTTGAGACGATAGTTACAAAATAATAATAATTGTGGCAGCTGATGCTGAAATCGGCTGATGCTAAGATTTTAAATATTTTAATATTAAATTTTAAAATTTTTTGGGGCCTTTTGTTAGGGTTTTT